TGGGGGAGCGCGGGGCTGCCTCCGCCGGCGTCGCGCGCGCTGTGTGTGAGCGGGGCCGCGCGCGCGCCCACGACAGGCGAGCGAGGGGTGAGGGCGCGAGCAGCGGCCGGGTGTGAGTGCGTGTGGGTGGGTGTGTGTGGGAGTGGGGGTGAGGGAGAGCCAGCCCGACCGCGAGGCTGTGAGAAGGCGGGCGAGTGTGCGTCGGCGCCCGGCCTGGCTGCGGGAGCCGCGGGGGCGGAGGAGAAAGGAGGCGGCTCCCGGCATCCCGACCCCTCCCCCCTCTCCGTCTCGGACTTCCAGCCCGCCCGGCAGCCCGCGCTGCCCTCGGAGGCCCCAGCCCGGCTCCGCTGGCCGGGAGCGAGGGAGGAGCCGCCTGAGCCAGGTGAGCGGTGCGGCCGCTCGCCCCGCGGGTGGGGGGCGTGAGGCGGAGGTGCGCCCGCCCCTCTCCCCTCTCCCCGCATGGGCGATTTGGGCCGAATGGACTCGCGGACGAGCGGGGACTCGGCCCGGGGAGGGAACCGGGCTCACGAAGGCCGGTGGTCGCTTCCGAGCCGGAGGCGGTGGGAAGCGAGGCCGAACCTGGGCTTGTGGCGTGTGTTGGGAGGGGTCGGTATGCCGGGCGCGTGTGACTGGAGAACTGTGTCGGAAGGGCGGCGGCCGCGGGCGTGGGGAAGCGCGGCTCCCCGCTGCCGAGGGGGTGTGGTAACCCTGGGAACGCTGGCCGGAGGCGAACGTGCGTCTTGCTGACCTGTCCTCGGGCGCGCGGTGATCGCTCCTGCCCGTGCCTCCATCAGACAAACGCCTGTGGTGTGACGAGGCGGAGGATGTGCTGTTCGTCCTGCAGTTATTGTTTTTACTTCCATGTTTTCCTCCTTACGTGTAAATTTTAGAGAGTGACCGTCATTCCTTTTTCCTTTGACAGCCCTCTGAATAAGAATGAGGTCAGAAAATAATTGCCTGTCTTTGATTTTTTTTTAAAGCATTTGACCAACATGCAAATCTTACCCGCCCCCCCGTCTTGAAAAAACCCAAAATAGTTAGGGGATAATAACTTCAGATTTACCTCAATAATTTATCCTTGTCTGTGATAGCTGATCTGTAATCCCATTATTTTATCCCATTTGTGTTGATTAGTACAGATGGGGCGTTGATGCTATTCTGTGAGTGGGCTTATTATGCTAACCGTGTTGAATGTAACTTCAATGTAGATTCTTTCAACGTGCTGCTATTTTCTCGTTAATGACATAAATTGTTCCCCCATCTTTGTGGACTTGGGTCCGATTCTTAACATGTATGGAGAGTCTATGGGTAGCCTAATATGGAAGATTTTTGTTTTTTGTGGACTTAGTATGTTTATAATATTTGTGGACATTGTTAATTATTGACTGTAACCATTAAAATTTAAATGTTACTTAAATCTCATTTTATTTCTTTTACAACATTGGGTAGTTTATAGGTCATTTTTTCTGCCTTTTGAAACGATTTCTTAAAAACAGTTCACTGTCAAGATACTTTAAGATATTCATTTGAAATAAAAGTCTCTGCAATTCCATTCATGGAGATTCAACATTTTCTAACTTTTAGAGTGAAAACCTCTATTTTTAAAAATTAACAGTCATAGTTAAATTGTTTTTCTAATGGTTATGGTGTGTTATTTGGTTAGTGCGTCAAAAAGGAGGAGGCCTATTTGGTTTTGAGGTAACCTTGTGTTTATTCCTTTCTGACTTGGTTAGTGCTGTTAATTTCCTTCTTGCATGTCATAGATTTAGTTGTTAGTTTGGCAACATGGATGTTGATGTTTTTATCTTTCTCTGTCTCCCTTTTCTCCTCTCTTGTCTTCTCTTACCCACCCCCGCCTCCACCCCACCAGGTGCTGGATTCCGCTTGCCAGGGAGGGGGGCAGTCTGTGATTCTGAGAAAAGAGAGCTGAGAAGGGGAACAGCAAGTTCAGTCACATAAAATCCTCCACTCAGTTAAGAGCCACTTTTCTCTTCCTGCTTTACCCTGCAGGGGGTAAGGAGCTGTATATCTAACCTTTAGACTTTTGGCTTCCAGCTAAAATTCCTCTTATCTTAGTTTCTGGTGGATAGTTTTTGAAAAATTTTCTCCTGTTTTCTTCGAGTCCCTATTGACTATAATTTAGCTATCGAATATAACAGCATCTGGGGGTGGAGGGAGGAGTGGCAACAAGAAATTATCCCTTTTTTTTATCCTTTCTCATTTAGTCCCCTTTTCCTCTCCAGGAGGAAATTACCAGCAACACCTTATAAATCCTCTACCCCTTCTCATCCATATTGTGAAGAAACACACTAAAGTGAATATTATTTTTTTCTCTGACCAATGAACACCACTCAAACTTGAGGCATTAGTTTGGGGCACAGGATGAAACATATCTTTAAAAATATCTCCCAATTCTTCCTTTCCCCAATTTGTATCCACCTGGGATTTGCTACTGGGGTAAGTCACGAGACTGGTTTCTCAAAACTTCTCCCCTCCCTGTGAGCTGAAAGACTGAACACTGAACACTGGAAGGGTTGGGGGAAGGGGACAGCACAGTGAGTAGTTCCACACGTTGAGAAGTAGCTTTTATCATCTTCTTTTGGGGAGCAGGCGTAGAGACCTAAACTGAGTGAAAATGGGTGGAGGAAGAACTTGTGTACCCACGAACAACATGTGAAGAGTGAGAGATAACCAAACATAAAGTGAGGAGCGTGAGTTTTATTGTATATTGCTTGCTGACAGCTGTTTTAGGGGGTACTTCAGTGATGTGGATTTGTAGAGAGATTTTATCGCAGATTAGTTTACGAAGAGTAGTCTCTGCAAGTGGGATTGTCATAAACGATATAAGAAAAGAACCTTAGGGGCCGGCCCGGTGGCGCAAGCTGTTAAGTGCGCGTGCTCCGCTGCAGCAGCCCGGGGTTTGCCGGTTCGGATCCCGGGCACGCACTGATGCACCACTTGTCAGGCCATGCTGTGGTGGCCTCTCATATAAAGTGGAGGAAGATGGGCACAGATGTTAGCCCAGGGCCAGACTACCTCAGCAAAAGAGGATTGGCAGATGTTAGCTCAGGGCCGATCTTCCTCACAAAAAAAAAGAAAAGAACCTTTAGAAATTGTAATAGTTATGTTTTAAAATCTGTGAGAGTAGATTGTGATAGGAACAGTGAAAAAAGTATTTAAATGTTAGCTGTACTGGCATGTACAGTTGTTTCAAGAGAGGTTGAATAGGAGAGATTAGGTACAGATGTTGGGGAAATTGTCTTTCATTACTTGGGAATTTTCCTGCTTATCATATTAAGGGTTAAGAAATAATGTAGTACCTCCAAAAATATCTGTATGTAATGTATTTTAGATTCATGTGCCATATATATCTGTGTAGATGTTAGGTTTGCAGAAAAGGACTTTCTTACTTCATAGTAGCTAATGCCATGGTGTTATTGTCAATGTTTTCTTTTCCAGTGTTTTTTCCTTTCAAAATTGGCTTGGAGGACAAAAGCCACAGAGCTAGCCAGCTCTACTCCGTTAGAGCCTGGTCTGCATGGAACCCATCTGCTTATATCTCTTTTTCCTCTTCTTAGTGAAATTGTTTTTTCTCCCCTAGCTTTAATTGTTAACAAAGCTAATTATTTCATGATCAGTTGTATGATGATGATGGAAAGTAGCATTAGGCTTGAGTTTTTGGTCTTTTATGACAAACTGAAAAAATAAATTATGAATTTTTGACAGCTACATTTAGATCTTATGGGGTATACATTTGCCTGGTGCTTAATATTGAAAATAGCAATGGTTTTTTGATACTCTCTTATGACTCAATATAGCAAACTCCTTTAAAATAACTCCTAACCCTTAACTTTTGTCTGTCATATTTGAAGTTCAATATTGCCCACTGGGGATAACAGCAGAGAATAAAACAAGGATTCTGTCTTCATGGAGTTTACAGTCTGACTAATTTCGTTGATCCCTGTACTTTTCATCTGTCAGTCATTTCTCCCAGCAATGTCTGGAAGAGTCTACTAGATTCTATAAAATGTGTATTAATTTGTGTAAACATTGATAATGGCTAATTAGTTTTTACTACCTTTCTTTCAAAAGTGGCAACACATCACCAAGTTGTGACTAAAAAAATAACCTACCCTTCACTTAAATGTTTTTACTCTCGTCATCTTTTTACATTCCATTTCTTTTCTTTCTCTCTTTTTTTTTTTTTTTTTTTACCCCTTCTGCTAACTAGCTCTTGGCTTTATGTTCTTAGAAATATATAGAAATAAGGTCTCCAAAATAGAACATGGATTTTCTATATAAAAGTAGACCAGTTCTGTCTTATTGCTCTGCTGTCCCATATTTGGCAGCATTTCAGACTTTGATACTTTATCAGAAAACTACATCTTGAAGATTCATGCAGTTTGCCCAAATAGCAGCCTTGGAGCGTTCTTCCCTGATGCTTTGGGGGTCTCAGTTATTAGCTTATTCCTTTGACATGATTTAGTTAGCCATATTTATAAAGCCTTCAGCTTGATTACGTTAATAGCTTCCCAGCTCCTTTTTCAACGTAATGTCCAGAAAGAAAATTTGGAAGAAAGGCCCAACATTTAATATGTTAAATATGATGAACTTTGAGCTAGACTGTGCATTGCATCTTAGGAACATTTTTCAAAATTTGTGCCATGTTCCAGAGATACTTTGATGGAACATTCCTCTATTAAGTGAAATCATTAGCAATTTTATTTGGATCCCAAAGAATACTTTTTTTTTTTTTAAGTTTAATAGGTTTTATATACCACAGATTATTTTGTGAATCTTAGTGACCAAGCTATAGGTAATTTAAGTAAAGTTAACATAGTTTTCTGACCTTTTAGTTGGAAATGTATAAAAATTTGCATGTTATGGGCCGGCCCCGTGGCTTAGAGGTTAAGTGCTCGCGCTCCGCTGCTGGCGGCCCGGGTTCGGATCCTGGGCACGCACCGACGCACCACTTCTCCAGCCATGCTGAGGCCCAGTCCCACATACGGCAACTAGAAGGATGTGCAGCTGTGACATACAACTATCTACTGGGGCTTTGGGGGAAAAATAAATAAATAAATAAAATTATAAAAAAAACATTTGCATGTTAATTTGCTCATGACATTTTTTTTCCTTTTCCAATTTTCTTTTTAGTGTGGTAAAATACACATAACATAAAATTTACCATCCTAACCGTTTTTAAGTACACAGGTTAGTGGTATTAAGTGCATTCATATTGTGCAATCATCACCATATCCGTCTGTAGAACTCTTTGATTTGCAAAACTGAAACTCTATACCCATAAAACAATAACTCTCCGTTCTCCTAACCCCCAGCCCCTTGCAACCACCATTCTACTTTCTCTCTCTGTGAATTTGACTG